TCATCTTGTACTGTATCTGTTGTAGACATCACTCCACGTTGTTGCTGGGAATTCTCGAAGGCTTTCTTTGAGTCGCCTCGTGGCTTCTGATCTCATTTAAATTACTAGCAAAGGCTATGGCTGCCCAATTGTCAGGTACTCGTGGCAGCGTCATTCTTACCCGTTGAAATCTATCTACGAACTCTCTAAGCAACTCTGAGTCTCCTTGCTTGATTTTGAAGATATCTTCCATTCGCTTTTCAACTTTTTGAGCTCCCGAGTGTGCTTTGATAAATAAATCTGCAAGCTCAGCAAAGGAATTTATAGAATTTTCAGGTAAAAGAGAATACCATGTTAGGGCTCCTTTAGTGAGTGTTTCACCGAATTTTTTGACCAAGACCGACTCGATTTCTTGCTTAGTCAAATCATTGCCCTTGACACCTGTTGTGAATGCAGTAACGTGATCTCGTGGGTCTGATGTACCATCATACTTTGGAATATCAGGCATCTTAAACTTCTTTGGAATTGGAAGGGGAGCAGCGCTTGGCTTCCATGGTTGTTGGGAATATTTATCTATATCCACACCCTTGATCACCGGCGGTACTCCAGGTATTTGTTCTATGCGTTCATTTTGCTCCTTGAGCTGTTTCTGCAAGGTTAGTACTAGACTTTGTAAATCAGAATTAACTGGATTACCTGGGTCTCTCTCTTGTGTTTCACTAGGGGTTCCACCGCTGCCAGAATTAATCAATCCTGAACGAGGATTCTCCAAAGTATTGTTGTTCGGAGCAGATGTGGGTGGGACAGCAGGCAATTGGCGAACAAAAGCTTGGAGAGCGTTATTGACTTGAGAGGCAATAAGTTTTTGCAGAGCCTCATTCATGGTTTCAACGTTTTCGAATTGAGCCTGTCCATCTGTATAAGATCCATCAGGAGTGCCTTCACGAGATCGTCGTGGGGAGCCTCGTGGAGAATCTTGTGGAGAGCCTTGTGGGGAATCTCCCTGAAGTTGTTGGATTGTCTGAATTTCTGGGTTTCCTTGAGTGTTGTCATTGTTGTTCGACATGATTGATGCAATCAAGAAAATTAGATTGAGATATGCTTGATTATAAGATTCCCGGCAACTGAACCAATTTGTTTAACCAAAAAATAGAATTTCGGTTAAAACTAGAAATTAAGAGGAAAAATCGGGTTACTGATAATCAGGAGACGAAAAGAATAAGAAATTTTTGAGGATAATAAAGCAGTAAATAAGTTTGTATTTCAATGTAATCTCAATGATATTTCGTGTCCTTACAAATGCTGAGACCTCCTCCTTTTATAGTTGATTTTTCTAGGAAAAGGTATAATGCCTTAGCCTTAAAGAGGCAATTATGAGCATTAAAAGACATTAAATGAAACGTTACACAATCATTCCTATTCAATACTGATTCGCTAACGTATTTGACATTTAATACTGAATTTAGACTCCTTTATGCCATCAGATTCATATCTTCAATTCCTTCTGACCTTCTGGCTTTAATTAAGTTAAATAGATACGAGACTCGTATCATTTGAATAGCATCTCGTGCCTATTTAACTTTCTTCTCCTCATATCTGATATTGCCCGTGCCTCTTAACTGATCATCATGTTTTGACCATTTGACCAGTCCACGTGTCATGCCACGTCACCTTCAATTATAAATTCAGTTTTTTCCCAATACAATATCCCTTGCAGTTACTGGGTTCTAAATTAATAATCTGAACATATTCGTTAGATTCTTTAATACAAATATATGATTTGAACAAAAGCTACTGAGTTCGGCTGAACCCGCAGCTAACACTGTGGCTCCGCCCCGGAAATAATTATTAATAAGTGGATCGGGTATAAGTTCATCTTAATTTTATAGCAAGAGATAGAGTGCCTATTAATGCACTTGTAAAAAAAATACCTGCTTGTGAAAGCATTTCCAAACCACTATATTGTACAGATGAGCCATATGCTAAGGAATATGAAAAAGAGGGTACGTAAACTTATGCTCCATTTGGTTATGGAGGACCACCCCTTAAATACTCTTCGGTCCAATCTAGCTAGTTAGCCTTAAAGTTTTGTGGAGGTATTAGGGTTTGACACTATCAACAATCAAATCGAGCCATGTGAATTTTCTCTAATATTTGTTCATCACTAGAATAGATTCTCCCACTAATTCCTCCAAGATTGTGGACATTTGTGGAGATGAACTCGTTGACGGCAAATTCTTCTTTTCATTTTTTTCCCTCTTCAAAACGTTGAAAAATATCATTAGTATGAAACTGGACAATACATCCTGTTTTATAATTGAGTGCATACATTTTCTGTGAGATGAAATTTGTGTACATAGAAATATTCATGCAGACGCGTTGATAATATCAAATGAGAATAAAGTTCTTTTTTTCCGGAAAAAAAAGAGAATACTTGCATCAGCGTGCTAAACTAATATATATTAGGCCCTTTTCCTAATATTACCATAAGTATTTTCTTTTTTGGGAAAAGAATTGAATTTGTCAATTTGTTATACTTTGGATCCATCCCCGATGTTAGCAAAATATTTTATTTTGCCCTTGACCCTCTAATGGAGTTTCATCCTAAGGGTAATTTTATATCACATAAAGTCAAAAGTAGTTAAAGGGGTAAATTTACTTAGACCTCTTCTTCAAATATTCGACACAAGGAGGTTACTCGTTTATAAAGTACATATCCTGGAGCTACATCACTGTCAACGGCAAATACGAGGCAATTTCCTATTGACAAAAGAATGAATGAACCCAAAGGTATCAAAGTATAAGTGAAAGTGAAATTGAGCAATTTCGGATAGTATAAGAGTAAAGTCGAATATTTTTTCTTCTTAAAAAATACAATAACTTTTTTCTTCCTTTTTTTTTTTTGAATTTAACACTGCTAAATTATCTAAGTTGCGACTATACTCTCCTTAAACTTAATATCCAACGCGTGTGAGTAACATTTTTCAAAATTATATATTTTTCTCCATTTTATGTGACGCGCAGTATACATGACTTTTCGTAATAGTGAATTGAAAATGAAACAAGTACCAAAATATCTATATACCGACTTTGACAGGCAGAATAATATAGAAAGATATAAACTACATAATTAGGAAAAAAATTTCAAATGAGAGCAATTCATTGTATGAACTCCTTTCCTTTCCCATTTGGCGAAATACATAAACGGCTCATTCAAGTTGTCCACAACGACCAAACAAACACCTCAATTGACCCATGTATCATTTAGACACTTCAAGTGACTGTTAAGTAAATCAAAGAGACACCTGAGTGCAACAGACCAGATACGTGAGTTACACTTGCCAATGATGTGTCAAATGAGCCAATCAGTGAACGATATGTGTAATTTTATAATTAAAACTTAACACTTATAGTTAAAAAAAGAAAATGAATTTAAAGAAGGAAAAAATCTTTTCCCCTCAGTTTTAACCAAAGCACTGCCTCCCCTCCCCCCCTCCC